GCATCAGAAGAAAACATGAAAAGAAGTGTTTCTGAGTTCATGTGTTTATGCATACACAAAAGCCTATGATGGGAAGTTGTGTTTGTGATTACACATGAGGGCTGGTATAGAGGTCTGGTTGTCCCATAGTGACATACTTGACTTGATAACTATCCTCTCATTCTTTAAACTAGCCTTTTGTTTTTGCCTTGGCAACACTGTTACTGAGCTTCAGTACTATTGACAAGAGAAATAGGGAGCAAAGTTCTTATAATTGAATGAGATCTGATAACTAACATCAGCAGCTATCTTTAGGCAAAAATAATATTTGTGGTTTTTTTGCTTTACCAAATACCCTTGTGTTGGAAAAAAAATTGCAGTTTTTTTCTGGCTCTTGAAGTTTTGAATAGAGACATAAGACAAGATGAGAGAATTGCTGGAGTGAAAGTTAAAAAAGAAGTTTATAAACTAAGAGCATTGGCCAATGATTTCGTTTTAATTTTGGAGAACCTTTTAGGGAGGATAGATGTATTAATGGAAAAACTAAGAGAATTTGGTGCATTGGCTGGATTTAAAATTAATAAGGAAAAAACAAAGATGCTGACAATGAATATGAAGATGGAAGACCAAAACGAATTGTCTTGGGAAAAAAGTGAAATATGTGGGTTCATTATAATTAACATGAATTGTATGTTATTTCAAAATAATTATTTTAACATATGGAATGAAATTAAGAAGGATTTATTAAGATAGGGAAAATTACAATTATTGTTGGGAAGAATTTCTGTGGCAAAAATGAATGTTTTTATTTCAGACAATACCTGTTTTGAGAACTTATGCACCATTTAAACAGTGGCAAAAAGACATATCCAGATTTATATGGCAGGGGGAAAATCCAAGGGTTAAATATAAGATTCTACAAGATGCAAAGGAAAGAGGAGGACTTTTCCTGATTTTAAATTGCATTTTGGTGTCTGCTGTTTGGTTTGGATGACGGAATGGCTGTTGTTAAAAAATAAGAGACTTTTACATTTAGAAGATCATGGTCTGAGGTTTTGGTGGCATAGTTACTTATGATATGATAAAGTTAAAGTAAATGTAGATTCCTACATATTAGGAATGCCATGCTACAAATATGGAATAGATACAAACTCAGACTATGTCCAAAAATACCTTTGTTGACCTCAGCTCGATAAGTGTTTTATAGAAAAGAAACAGCGGGCAAAGACAAATGGTTAACGTATAAAGACTTGCTAGTACAGGAAAATGGGGAGCTTAAGATGAAATCAAGAGAACAATTGACTGCAGTGGGATTTAGTTTTCAATGGTTCTCATATGCACAGTAAGAGAAAGATTTAGTGTAGATAAAGACGTACCAGGAATAGAATGTGATAAAATGGAATTTGAAAATGAACTATGTATAAATGATGAACGTATGATTGCTAAAATGTATAAACTTTTGTTGAGATTTGAAACGGAGGAAGAGCAAGTTACTGTATGGTAAAATGGGCCGAGAATTTTGGTTATAATATTCAAATGCATCAATGGGAGAGAATGTGGTTAAAAGGTCTGAAATTCACATTGTCTTACAATTTTAAAATGATATACCGTTGGTACCAGAGAAATTGTTTAAGATATATAAAGGTACTTCTAATCACTGTTGGAAATGTGAAAATATGAATATTTTATCATGCATGGTGGACTTGTAAAAAAGCTAAAAGACACTGGACACAAATACATATACATATGGTGATACAGAGAGTTTTAAAAATTAATGTTAAGTTGAAACCGAACAGTCAGCTATGGATAGTCAACTAGAAAAGGCTCATGGACAATTGGTTTTATATATGGTAACTGCAGCAAGGCTATTATATGCACAAAGATGGAAGATTACAGAAACACCAGTCATGGAGGGATGGGTTGTGAAGATGGCTGAGTTTGCAGAAATGGCTAAATTGACTTGTTTGATTAAGGAGGGAACTACAACTACTTTTATAAAAGACTGGAAACCCTTTATAGACTTTTTGGCGAAAATGGATAAAAATGAAATGCTGATTTCAGGATTTACTGATTAAAAAGTTTGTTTATTGGAAGAAGGGACCTATGATATGCAATATGGCGGTGTGGAGATGGTAATTGCTAGTTTGTAACTGCTGCAAAGAAGATCGGAAGTCACTTCTTTAGATATTTTTTTCTTTTTCTTGCTTTTTTGTTATTCTCCACTTTTTCTTTCACACTTTAAACATTTTTTTCTCTGTCTTCTTCTAAGTCTCTTTAAAATTTTTGTAGTCTTTTAATAATTATTCATAAAAAAAGGAAAAAATGCAGTTTACTTTGCAAAAACAGCTGAACTTTTATAGATGCTGTTTGTGTTCTGAGCCATAAAGTATGGTGAGGATGGAAACAGTCACATCAGTCTGTCTGGATGGAAAAGGTTGATTTCCAGGGTGGTCGGTGTAGGCTGCGTGTGGCACTTGCCGCAGACACTGATTATAACAGGATAGAAGTTTCTGAACACACTCATGTATTTTTTTCCTTACCAGTAGATTCTGTAAGTGTAATTATAAGCATAAACCCCAGAAGAAAAACAAGTAGCCTAAATTTTATATTCTAGGTTTTGCACAGGTTAATTAATTAAAAGTATATGCTGTAGTGGAATTTTATAATATTTATTTTTTATGGAAAAGAATTACAATTTGTAGCATGGATTATATTGAGAGCAGACCTGGATATGTTGGCCGGGAGCTATAATGTGTTTTTAGTCCCTTGGGGTTGTAATCTTCCCTCATTTGTGGAGGGTGGGTGATCTGGGTGGTCCCTTTCTCTGTGGAGGTTTCCTGCCCTGAAGCCATTGAGTGCTTTAGCAGGTATGGCCGGGGGGTTGGTTGGGTTGTTGTGGGACAAGGTGGGTTGTTGAGGCATCGGTAGTTGTGGGATGGGTGGGAGTGTAACTGGTTATATGTGCCTTGGCCTGGGAGTAGGGAGTGATGAGGGAGTAGGTTGGGGGGAGCTGATAGGGCAGACAGGAATGTCACAACACTGACAGGCAGCAGAACACATCAGGGGAATCTGGAGGTGGGCTGCACTCGGGAACAGTGGATCTGCTGTTTGAAAGCAGTCCCACTGTCTGGCCTTTGGCTTCTACCCTCAGTGGCTGGACATCAGATCCTCAGGGGTCCTGGGCTCTGGTAGGTCCAACTGAGGTGCCCGGGGCTTGGTCTTGTGGTGTGGTCTGGGATAAATTTGAGCCAGTAACTCTTGAGGAAGTAGATAAGATTGTCAATACTTTTAGTTCAGTCACTTGTTTGTTGGAGGTGGCGTATCCATTCTTGTTCTCTTTGTTCTCTCAGTGGCTTTTGATACTGTTGACCATAGTATCTGGGGGTTGGGAGATGGTGGCACCATTTTACTGTGGTTTTCTTCCTTCCTTTGAGGATGGTATCAGTCAGTCTTGGCTGTGCGTGGGGGTGGGGGTATCATTTTCTAGTCCCTCCTTTGTGGAGTGCCACAGGGTCAACACTCTCTTCCCACTTGTTCAACATCTGCATGAAACTGCTGGATGAGGTCATTTGCCATTTCTTGAGGGTCCGCCCATCTCCCATGGTATCAGCCCAACTGGTTCAATCCGACAGCATTGGCACACTCCAGGTTCCTTCAATCAAGCAGTGTCATCTATTGGGACCCCAGAACATGTCTTCTCTGTGTGGCCCCTGCCCTCTGGAATGAGGTTCTACCTGATATCCAGGTGTCTCCCACTCTGATAGCTTTCTGGAAAGCCTTGAAGACCTGGATGTTCTTCAGGGCCTTGGGTTAGGCTAGCTGGAGCCCATTGGATATGTTTGGAGATGTGAGTGTTGTTAGTCAGACTCACCATCTCTTCTTGTTCTTTACTCCCTTTCTTCTACCTTTGTTTTTAATAATTTTATTATATTGTATTTTCCTATTTTGTTTAGTTTTATTGTATACCGCCCAGATTCAGTTTGGAGTTGGGCAATGCCTAAAATAAAAATATAACAATGCAGAGGGCAGGGTAGAGAAGGACACCAGCTTGTTTGGGGGAAACAAATGTCATTTTGCCATTTCATGTCACAATCAAATAATGAAATAAAATAGAAATCAAAGTACAACTACCTCAAATAGCTTTTGCTAAATCTTAATTCCCATAGCTATTTTTCTGGGCATATGATTCTTTGTCTCTTTCAGCCATATTCAGTATGGGCTGACATATTCAGTGGGTATGAAGTACTTTGAAAAATTGTCTGTACTGGCTTGCTAATTTCAGACCTTTGCAAGTGACTACTGGAACTCTAAAGAAATCATCTTTCTATCAAGGCAATATAGATGCCCTGTATGATGTTTTTTTCCTTATAGCCATCGACTTAATGTCATGATGCAACGTATGCCCAGTGCAACTTTGAATTCTGTATCTTGAAGAATGGAATAAAGGCCACTCCCAGATTCATTATGAAAGGTTTTTTTTAAAGAAAATATTTATGTTGAGAACATACTCCTCACATAGCACATCCACCTTTCTGAGGTACTTTTCTAATTAGCTTTTGTTTAACATACAATATGTTTGATGCTCATATCAAAGCCAATGTTGTTTAATGATTAAAGTGTTGGACTAGGTCTGGAGATGCCAATGTTCAAGTCAACCCTTAGCCATAGAAGCTCACTTTCTCTCAGCTCAGTTGACCTCACTAGATGGTTGTTGTAGGGAAAACTGAAGGAGAGAGCTCTGTCTTGTTTCTTAGCTCCTAGAGGAAAGGTAGTATACAAATCCAACCAACAAATATAAAATCCTCATCCTTGGATGTTGTAAAAGTATTTTAAACATTCTTTCCTCTGTTTTGCCTATGTACATATTTTTTTGTTTGTAGGAAGATGAGAATCTTTTAAAATTATATTATTGAAGGCGGGACATCTTTTCTGACCATGGTCACATAGGATCTGTTATTATATAGTATTGATACTATGAAGATATACTGGCACTTCCATGATTATTTTCTTTTCTTTTGCAGGTCTATAACTCAAATAAAGACAACCAAAATGAAGGCAGTAAGTATTTTATTACTTAGTCAGAAAAAAGCTACAGTAATATTGAGCAAATGATTTGTGGACTTGCATGCCTGGATAAGCCAGTAGATGGTGCTCCGTAATCTACTGTAGCCTTCTGGTCTTTATGTATGTTGATATTTTAAACTTTCAGGTATAGTTTTGGGTGTCAAATGGTTTCACAGTAACATTAAAGGTTGACAATCATTGTATTAAACAAAAGAGCTTTATAGCTGCTGGAATTCCAGCAAGTAAACATCTGGATGCAACCCAAGAGCTGTGGAGTCCTGAAACTGGCTTTGTTGCAAATTGTGTGTTTCCTTTGGCAAATTATTTAACAATCTTTTGTCTCAGTTTACACAACCCAGGCACAGAAGTTTACAGAAGGGAAGTGAGAAGGAGAACTAAGATTTTTCTGAATCTTAGTTCCTTGTTTTACTTTCCTTAAAATTTAATGAATAGAAATGAAATATCTTGTGCTAAAAAGGGTTTGTCCAAAACCTGAGCCTGCCCCTGGACTGTTGTTGAGCTGATGTATTCTTGGGATGAAAGGCTCCTTGTATGCATGAAATAGCACACTTTAAATATTTTCCTCCATTCACCCCAAATATTGGACAGAGCAAATGGCTTGATAATGTGTTTTGCTGAACAACTTGAACTTCTTGCTATTGCTATTTAAAAATCTGTTCTCTGTTTCTAAGCAGCAAGCCAGCTTACAAATATCACTGTAGCTCTGTTTTTTCCTCTTTACAGCTGCTGCCATGCAGTGACATTGCAGCAAATCTCTTGTTTATCCTGGGTGTGGCTTGTAAAGTTAGTATGGGTTTTCATATGCTGGTGTGTGAGTGTTTATTGAGTTTGGGAATACTGATGAATGGCGTTCTTTTTAACCCTGCAAGCTCAGAAATACTTGGAACACAGTAAAAGAAACTCCCTCCTGTTGCCTTTTTTTTTTTTTTAGAGCAAGCCGCATTCAGCTGAAACCTTCATGAGCTCATCATCCCTTTTCTTCCTAAGGGATCCCTGCTGGTTGTGTTTCTTTATAAATAGAATGTTGTTCCTAGTAAATCTGAGAAGCAGCATAGCTTCTCCAGCTGTTAGGTCACTCCAGCTGACAGACACTATATAAGTGGTCCAGCTCCCTTTACTGTTTTCAGTCGATAAATGCCATGTAATTTTAAACCCACACTTTCCTTCCCTAGATCTTTCTTCCCTTCTCCGCAGTACAAGATTTACATATCCACCATCTCTTGAATAGCGCTAGTATGTCAAACAAGACGGCACAATTAGAGATAATTTCACCTCAGTAGCTTGTGAGATTATGTCAGCCTAGGAGAGGATTTCTAGGATTCCCTCTCCCCACAGGTGATATATTTCCTATTCCTGTGTTGATTAAGAAATTTAAATAAAACGCAGTAAGGAAACTTGCAGTGGAACAAGTTAGCCACTGGTGATTTTGATTAATATATAAGCAATACCACGATTTTGCTTTTCTGTGACATGGATACTTCCTATTGCTAACTTTTTAAATACATAATTCTGTTTAGCTAAAAGGAAGAACAAGGGTTTGCCCCAAACAATTTAACTTTAAAATAGGAAGGCATATTACATTTGCTGAGAATATGATGAAAGGAACAGATAAGGGTTTTATCATTTTTTTTTCTTTTTTGGTTCCTCTTCCTTTTTGGGGTGCAGGTAATTTTAAGTACTGGCATGTGGGGGAAATGCACATATCACTGTTGCCTTAGGTCCATCTTTTTGTTTTGATTTTAGTCATTCCTTGTATAAATGAACTGAAAATGCATGGTAGTCCAGACAAAGCTCATTAAGGCAAAGAAGGGTGGCCTATGGCTTCTATTTGCAGTATTGCCATAAATTGGTCCTGTAGTTCTATGTTTTCAGTAGGAGGAGCACTATCATCCACTTACCACAATGTTTTCTATTGTTTGTGGGCTAGCAATTGACAAAATTAACACTGAAAAAACAATTTAATTTATTTGCTCCTGATCTCTATAATTATATTAACTGAGAGACCTTTTTCCTCTTCCAGTTCCCTTGTTTCCTTGCCCAGAGCCCTTCCTCTGCTAGTATAGAAGAGACATAGGAATTTTCCCTTTTATAATAACTAGTGGGAGGGAAAATAAAATCTGGGCTGCTAGAATGAATAGGAGAAAAGAAAAACTCTGCTGCTCCCTTTGTACACACGAACCTTTATTCTTCTCAAACCCTACTTTGGATGGGATTACTGTTATCTGCTGCGGTAAATTCTATTTGTGTGCCTTCGTATACATTTATATAAATTGTGCAAATAAATTTATATTGCATAATTCAGGCTTCAGCAATCTTCAATATTGTTTTTGCACACCTAGAGTCCTTTTCACCTATATTACTGAACTTTGGTATTCTTCCATTTTGAGACTGAAAATGTTTGGGACATATAGGATATGCCTAGAACTACTTAGGTGGCATCATCATCTTTCTGCCATATCCCTAAGTGCCTTCACAGCCACTAAAATTTTGCCCATCACTTGTATAATTCCAATTATAGTGCTGATAGGGAAATAAAAGCATTTTATGTTCTGTCTTCTGCATCCCAGGAGTCAATTAGCTGAATGCTTTCAAATTATTTTTCTTTCAATTATGGTGATGAAAGCAATTTCCTTTGTTTTTGCTGGATTATAATTCAGTCTCTTCTCTAGCAGCAGCCCAGATCTCTCAAAAGAACTGTATTAGGGTATGAAAGTCGTGCCAATGTGAGATATTTCTTTCTAGCCTTTAAATAAGAAGATTACCCTTAACCACCATAGATTGGGATTATTAACAAACATTGGGAGGCTTGATGTCTTTTCTCTTTTTCAATTATTCTAGGGCCAAAGCTCATCTTCTCTAGGATCTCCATCTCCCCTCCCTCAAAATACAGCTATGAGAGCCATATGTTCATTGGGAACAGTGGCTGGGATGTCTCCCCAAAAAGTTTTTCAGTTAAAATCCTCTTCTGCTAGAAAATCACAGGTGAAAGTATGGAATGAATATCCTGGAAGGAATGGGGTAGATATAAAATATATCTGAGAACAGCCTTTAAATGATGTGAATAATGGATATTGGGAAGAGAAAAATCCCATGCGTGCCTTTTGTTTCTTCAGAATAAAGATATCCCCACTCCCCACTAACTGGAGGAGTGATGTCCTATAGGGCAGTGGGAAAATTTCCCCTTTATGACTCCTAAATCTAAGATGTATTTTGGAGCTATGAAAATAAAAAGAGTGGATTTGTTTTTCCAATAAAGTTACGATGTGGGGAGAGAAACCCTTAGGAAATTCCTGAATCTTTGTGGAAGTGTTCCTTTTGAAAAATTAGAAATTCAAGAAATATATTTTGAAAAGAATTATGAGCATTTTGAACAGATTTTGTTTATTGGTAATTTGGCTAAGAATATTAAGATGTATTGTTCTTCTAAAAGGCATGCCATTTTGATTCTCTTACCAGTTGCCAACTATTAATTTAGGATCCCACCCTCCTTTTTTTCCCTCAACTTTTTAAGACTGTACGACACTCTGGGGTTCATTTTTGGGTAGGATGATGGACTGCTCAAAATTATTTTAATGCATTTAATTATTTTCTTTTAACAATCCCATCCTTGTGCATTTGAGGCTTATCACATAATTCTGGTGTCCGAACCTTGCCTCAGTGTTTGGACCTCAGATTTACTCTAGCGTTCGGTTTGTTCTGCATAGACAAACTGAAGCTCATATGCTTGCTCCTTGTTCTAAATGATGAGGAAGCAACTCTTGAAAAGTTGCTTTTGAAACTCAAGAGAGGTTATTAGTTCAGGATAACAGCCATGAATTAATACACTTGAACAGCAATTCAGACTTTATCTGCAAGCCAAGTTGCATGTTAACCATTTAGACACAGGAATCCATTCATGTAGCTTTCAAGAAAACACACTTGCTTGTTTCCAACTGCAGCAGTTCCAGCTGTGAAATGATAGAGAGCTCCATCTATATATGTGATATCTCTACAGTTTATGACCCCAGTATGTTTACATGATACAAATTACATGAAAATTTCTTACAAGAACCACTTTATTTTGTGGAACCATCCATAATCGATGGCAACTTGTGTTTGTGCAGTAATGTTTTGCCTATTAAAATGTGTGGGCAATAAAATTTATAAGAAATGTTTCAGGTTCTGCCCCCCCCCCCAAATCCAGTTTGGGTATATGGCTACATTTTAAAAAAATAAACCCTGGGCCTCTAAGAACCAGTCTCCCAGGATTAGATTTTTGAAACTGGGAATTACCGTTTCAGTATCTCATCACAGTTCTGTTATTTCTTTATTTAAAACATCTATATCCTATCTAAATTCCAACAGGGATCAGGGCAATGCAGAACCAGACAGTTAAAAAATATCACTGTAAAACATAAAAATAGACAATAGAAAACAGCAGCTGTTGCAGCAGCAAAAATAGACATCCCCCCCCCCCATAAGTATACTCTAATCTGAACTGTGTGTTTAGTGTATTAGAATTCCTTCTTAAAATACATGCACAAATGGACCCATTTGCCACATTTATTTTAGGTGTTTTTACATATAGGTTCACAACTCACCATTGAGAATGTCACTTGGGTTACATAGATGCCTTCTGTATAAAAGCATGGGAAGCATCAGGGAAGTTGCTTCTGTATAATAAGCTCTGTTTCTCTAGCTTTCTGTTGCTCCCCTCTTCTTGCTTTATATTGAGTTGTCCGATAACAAGGTCCTTTAACTACAAAAGCATCTGTTTTAGCTAAACTACCTACCAACAGTGGGAAATTTTTTTTCCTTGGAAAGAGATATCATTCTAAGTTGAAGCTGACCAAAACATGTCTTAACAGATTTAGTAATTATGTATGTATATATGTATTACTAACTCAAATTATTTAAAGAAGTGTACCAGAAGGACTTAATTGAATTTTTTATAGGCCTAGTGACAGTGCTTGGATACTTATTCTATAATTTGTTTGCATGATTTTAAGACATCTTAATTTGCACGGAATAAATATTTCATGCAGCATGATGATAATGATGACGACACATTATGGAAGTCTGCAAAATGAAATGAATAAAAGGAACTATAACATGTTGCTTGTTAAACAATCCCTTTGTAGCCACAACACTAAAAAGAATGAGAGCAGGATGGATTATTCACTTCCAAGCCAGCTGGGATATCACAGAACAGCTGTCCCTAAAAACTCAGTTCCAGGAGAATTATACTGTGGCAAAATAGGATTATGTAGTCAGCCCTGCTTCAAGACTGTGCCGTATGACTCTGAGCTTTATTGTAACTCTTGCATTTTAATTCTGGTTATTTATTTCAATAATTCTAACCATGTGCTAGCAGTCAATTGGAATGTTTAATAAGCTCTCTTTTTAAAGACTGTGTGAGACCATTAGGTAGCGTAGAGTGCCAGGAAATGGCAACTGATCTCACCCACATAGGACCTATAAGCCCCAATTCAGCAACTTGGAATGATAATGGCAGGGTTCTGAAGATATATTTACTTGGTGGGTGTTTAGTCATTCATTCTCCAGAGTGGTAGATATGATGCCATTTTGGGAGTTGTATATAGCTGGAGTCCAGAGAGGTGGTGGTAGGAAGTGCTGCACAGCTCCCAGTCTTTTGCCTTTACATCTGCAGATGCAGACTGTGACAAAGTCTGCCAGTGAACCAAGGCAGGCATTTTTGTGCTCAATATGGTCAGATTGACCTCACATAGGAAAAGGAAAAGTTGGGTAACCAACTGAATTACATTGATATTGACTAATATGGGATTATTTATTTACCTGATCCATAAACCATTATTTGAGAACAGGGTCAATCACAGTAAGTCGAGACTTTGTCAAAATGATGGAAACCAGCTTCTGCCCCTTCCGTAGTTCCATGCAACATTGAGAAGTGAATAAAAAAGAGAGAGACTTTGTGCTGGGCAATCTCAATACACTTGTCATTTGCTTCCCTTGCATCCTTGTGGACTCCCATAGTTCAGGAACACAACTGCTTTAGTCAAGCCTTTATCATTAGTTTTCTTTGCTGTGTTGTATCCCACATACTCATCAATCTATCCACTCCCCACATATCCTTAGTTAGTCCTGGGTCATTTACTTTTCTTCAAATTTCAAATTTCTATTCAAATCCCATTAATACAAAACTTTCAGAATAATTATTGAGATGCCTGTGTTTTGGTCCTTATGGTTCTCCTCTGGATACCAAAAAAGCATCTTGAGAAATGTACAGTCATGTGAAAAAGAAAGTAGACCCTCTTTGAGTTCTATGC